CTGATCAAGAATATATATACTTTGTGGGGTCTGCCACGCCTCCTTCTCCCTGTTACATACATTTCAACAAAACCATTATACCCTGATTTCCCATTGAAAATGGGTTCAGGGTATAAAAATGCGCTCAATACGCCCTTCGGTGTAGAATTAGCCATGCTTGAAATGTAGAATGTATATCGCGGTTTTAAGGCAGATGCAAATTGCGCAACCTGAATGACAGTGTAATTGAAGACTTTAATTATTATCATTTGTTACAAATACGCAAATTACAGTATATTACGGTATATAGTCATATTTGTGAATCGAAATCGTTTGTCGTAATTAGAATCAGTAGAAGCATTTGAATAAAACTAAACTAGATTATGTAAGAGAATTGTGCTTAGATTCCGATTTGATATCGTTCCAGTTTATTGCACACTCGACACCTGCCGTTGCGTGGGCGTCATTGTACGAGGCTGGCTGAGTGGCAGGTGAACTTGCTGGCCATGCTAGCATGCAATGTCGCACGTATGCATACATATACATACATACATACATATACATATACATACATGTTTATCATGCACACATTATGTGAAGCTCATGTGGCAGCTACATGCGACCATTCAATTACGATGCTAACTGGCTGATGGTTTCGTTTCATATCGCGTTGTCACCCAGTTTCCAGTTAATAAATTCAAGACGCTGTTTATTGGCAAACGAATCAACTCTTGTTAAATATTTCATTGAAAACAATCAGCTAACATGCAAAAAAAAAAAAAAAACGGAAAACAATAACAAAAGAATCATTGATGACAGTGCCTTCATATGTTTATTTAACCATCTGGAAGTGCAGTTGCTAAGTGGCCTTATTACGCAGTATTCTGTGATAAAAGACAGCTAGAATAAAAAGTGAATGCGACTGCCACTGTGACAGACTCTCGATAAAGAGACGCCGCGTTGTTCGGCTGCAGTACAAAGTCCACATGGCGTATGATTAATAATTTATACTGTGCCCGGCTGCCAACATCGTCGAGTGGGGCAAGAGCTTTCGGAACTACTATATCCAGAATAAAGTCTCGAAAGTAGCGTCACCTCAATTCACCTCCACACCTTAAATTTAGCCGAAACATTTCGTGTGCATTTCAAGTACATTAAAATGATTTATACATATATTCGTATATTAACGACAACGGTAATTGTAACAAGTTCAAATCTTAGTCAACTCCTGTTATTCACACTTGGAAAAACAAATGGGTTGATAAGCTCTGTGTTCACTTTCGAATATTTATAGTTTGTTTATTTTCGACTCGAACTACTCATCCAAAGCTAATGAAAATTGTATTTTTTTTAGAATTATCTACAAAGCTGCATGCATTTGCATAACTCAATTGCACAAAAGACCTTCACCTCAGCTCTGTCGACTATAACTTATTGCACAATATCATTGACAATTGCCAACGATAAGCTTTCATTTATGCTGCTCATGAATGCAGGCCTTAGTACAGCTCATAGACTGCATAAGTTCTAAGCTGTTGTCAATAGGCCAACTGCAGTATTGTTCCGCTTTATCAGTCTGCTTATCTTGCTCGAGCCATAAAATAAAGCCATGCACTTGAGATAGCCAATTGCCAATTGTCTACGTAGCTGTTCAAGTTCACGAAAATTACCCAAAGCCAAAGTTGACGGACCCCGAATTAGATAAAGGGAAATTGGTGGATATGTAGCCTGTCTGATCTCATCTATTTTGCGTCAACCCATTGATAATGGCATAAATTATTCGAGCCAATTGACTTGATGCCGAATAATTAATTAAAGTTCAACCTGTCAACGGGAAAGGCCGCTACCGTGTGCCAGCTGTGCCAATGGGTCAGTAGCACCGCTCTTATCAGTCACTGGCAAAGTGATAAAACTCGAAATAGAAATGCTATAACAAGCACTACTATAAAATACCCTTTATAGTTTTGTAAGTTTATCCAATTAGGTTTAACAAATGAGTTTATTAAAAAATGCTCGATTCTAAAATACTCTGTGCAAATTTGTGAGCTTATCAATTTATGTTCATTGTTTGATGGTTTGATGATATCACATAAAACAAGAAGCATTTCAATAATACTTACCACGTAAATATGATTCATAAAATGTATTTAGACTATAAGTGTGTGTGTTATCGTGTAGGGGAATTAGTGCTCATTAATAAGTCTAGACTCGAGGGAACAAAATGAAACAAAAAGACGAACGGAGGTAGAGTAAAGCATAGACTGGAAGAGAAAACGAGATAGATACTGAACAAAAAAAAAAAAACAAAAAAATAAATAAATATATAAAAATAAGACATAGGATGGGGAGAAACAGAGCAAGCAGTAGAAGATAAGGAGACGTATGAAATAAACAAAGATATAAGATATAAACAAAGAGGGAAAGAAATACGAGAGATATTTGCAAGATATTTCCCTTTATTAAATAATTGTAAAAATCAGAAAATAAATCGAACATCTTTCTTTCATAATTAAAATTATTTAATTTACTTAACGCATTTGCTCAATTCGTATAGATTAACATAGGCTTATCTTAATACGATCAAAATGAGCTGTAGAGTATTAAAATTTAATCAGCAAATGGGTAAAAAAAAAGATATTTTGCAATTAGACATTTCGCCAGAAATAAGTCGGCGCAGAGATAAGAGCCGATGAAACCTTTTAGTTCACATTGTTTCTCTAAATTGGTTATTTATAAAGACAACAACAAGCCAGCATATGCCTGCAATTGTCTGCAGTTGATTGCAATTGACTCGTGTCTCTTGACGCAGTGCAGCTGGCGGCACTTGAAGCGCGCCATGTAAAGTGCTCAATACACGATACCAGTGCTATCCCCGTTTGAATGACATTTGAGTTGTTTTCACTGTCGTCACAACCACTCAACGGAACCACTCAACCACTGAGCCACGAACGAACGTGGTGCGCATTAGCGGCTGTTGCGACCGCTGCCGGTGCTGCCGGGCCTCGGCCTCGGCTGCCTGAAGGTGCCGGTCGCAGTTCTACTTTGATTTGCATTGTGCACGGTGCGCGATTCGCGATTCGCGGTTCGCTCGTTGGCCCAAGCGAAACGAGTACGTGTAAGTCGAGCTGTTTGGTTGGTGTGATTGGAATACGTGTGGGCGGCTGCCCTCCCGATCAGTGATGCTTTCCCAGCTGAATGCTGGCATTCATAATTACGATTCGCATGCATATTCTGATGCAAATGTCAGTTGTGATTTGTTAAGATGTACAGTTATTCGTGCCACTCCCTGCGGACTATTAGTGCAATTTAGAACAACAAAAGGTGCTGCAATAACAAAAGCCATTGTGCTGACACACATGCAACAAGCTTTGCCCTTTCTGTATTTCTGTGTCGTAGCCCATGTAACGACCCTCAACTTGAATTTTTGCTGCTCGGTTGAGGCATGGCACAGCAGTCAACGTAACACGCTTAGGTTTTGTTGCCCTTATGGCCGCTGTTGTTGGTTATCTAATGGAAAAAGCAGCGGGGAAATTGCAAATGTAATGGGCTGCGGGCCTACGGGTGGTATGAGTAATATTGTTGCATATGCAATCGGCCTGACAGCACCAACTGACATTGTCTTAGCAAGCATTGGCAATTTCTTGTATGAAACAAACAATCATAGTTGGGTTTCTATATGATGGGGACAACTACCCATCCTAAGCTGGTGATTTCATTAAATATGTAAATAAGATAAAAAGTTTAAAAATCGAAAGTGAACAATATTGTTGATATGGCAATTCTCATATTAGTGGCAACGCTATCATGTACTTAGCTATTAAGAAGCATAATAAAATCAGTCTCACTTGAACAACCAAACGTTGCGGTTCTTCTCATCCACTCGCGCACAAATACTCGCCAACAAATATATGGAGTTTGAAAACTAAATATTCAAATAGAAGATTCAAGACTTCACATTTGCACTTTAAATAAATTATTTTTAATTGAATTTTATTTCATAAAATATTTAGGCGTTTATTTAGTTAGCTGTCATCTTAAATTCAAACAAGAGTTGTTTTTTATGAAATTTTGAAAAATGTTGTACTTTATGTTAATGTTTTAGTAATAATATCATAGTAGGTGGCTTACTAGAGTCGAATATGTCTTTTTAAATACAGTGGAGAACTGTTTGTAAATTGAGTAAATTCCATAGCCCGGCGAAAAAGAGGGAATAGAGTAGAGAAAATTCGCTATTAGCAGTTCTCGTTTTACTCGTCAGGCAGATTGCTTAGATAGTCGTGGCACACGAGTCGTATACTTGCTTTTATGCAGCCCCGTTCTGCGCTAGTGCGCCCATATTTTTAGACTGACGAACGACACCGTCTTTTGCGTGGTAAACAAAAAAAGAGAAGACAAACGAGTGCAAAGTACTGATTGCACTAAGAGTGCAGCGCATTGACATTGACATTGGCAGCCAACTGAGTGCATATGATTAAAGTTGAATTCAAATTTATTTGCAGTCTAGTGTGCGGCCCTTCACTGGCAACATGTTGAGTCTGTACTAATTGGCGGCAAGCCAGCGGCGCAGATCGAGACGGCGAATAGCTAATAGAGAACACTGATAAATATGTTCACTAAACGCGAAACCCATAACAAAGCCAGTGCATTATTCAGCGCTGATTTACAAGTGAGCGACAGTAGCAACACACACTCACAACCAAACACAGCGAACAGCACCAACAGCAACAGCAGCGACAACAACAACAGTAACAGTAAGGCGTCTCAGTTTGAGTCAATAGATGAGCATTACGTCTGCAATATTGCGATGATGAGCATAGCCGAGGAAGTTGACCAAACGGCAGGTCAAGCCACTGATCAGGCACTGGACAATACAGCAATCGGCAATGGCAAAGAGGAGATGGAAATTGACCGCCAGGAGGAGGAGCAGGCGATCAATCAGTTGGTGCGCTCCTCCAGTGGCGGCGCCTTGATGCAACCGTAAGTATTTGCCCAATGTCTTACATAATCACTGACTCATGTGTGCTTCTCTCTATGTGACAGCCATAACAGCGGCAGCATGCGAGTCGTCCTTGGCGTCCTGGTGCGCCTGGTGCTGCCTCTGGCCAATGGCGTCGCCCGTGGCATTAAGGGCATACGCGACGTTCGCGTGCTACGCGTGCTGCAGAATTTGACCTCTAGCCGCCAGGCGCTGACCAACCTGGTGGCATTTGCCGCCAACACGTTATCGCTGAATCTATCTTCCGTACAAGGTTAGTACTTGAAGTGCATAGCATGGCCTCAGTTACCCAATTGTTCATCGGTTCATCATACTCATACCACCATTCTCAGCTTTTTATATCAAATTCTTATCGCTCAACCCGCAATCTCTTTCATTGACAGTTTCCAATCGTCTGGGGCCATTGCTCAATTTACTCAAATTGCGCAAGTCCCAAGATGGCTTGGAAATTCTGCCCGATACGCTGAACACACGTATACCGATCACACCCATACCGCCTAATACGCCCACAACGCCCAGCACACTGTTGCAGGGGCCGCCTATCTACAGTCTTCAGAGCTCAAGCTCCAGCTCCTCCAGCTGCTGCACGCTCAACATACTTGCCGAACCGGCGCCGGGCACTCCCATACGCGCTGACATCGTGCTTGTGCATGGCCTGCACGGCTCTCTGGTGAACACCTGGCGCCAGGGTCTGTGGCAAAACGAACGTCATCCGGTGGAGTTCGATCGTCCGCCCCGGCCACCGGTGCGTCCACCCAAGCGACCTCGTTATTCACGCAGCGCCGCAATACATCCAGCGCCTCGAGAGAAACGCGCCAAGTTCGCATCCTGCACTCGCAGCCTGGATGAAGATGCCACAAGCGTAGATGGAGGCTGGCAACGCGCAGCAGTGCAACAAACGACTGAGCCACATCTCTGTAATGCTTCCGACAGTAATGAGATCGCCGAAGAGTGAGTAGAAGTGGAATATTCCGTTATTTTCTATGGGCATTAACCTATTCGTATTTCTCCCACAGTTATGCCTACGTCTGCGGGGAGCCGGAGGATATTCAAATATGTGAAGGCATCGAGTACAGCTTCCCAACATTCCGTCTGCGCATGCACGACAGCAGCCAAGCGTTGCCAGCTGAGCTAGAGTCGATGCTGCAGGCCGAGAATAATAGCAGCGCCGCCATGGACAGCTCCACGACGCGCAAATCTGCCGGCAAAAGCAAAAAGAAACCTTCCGCCAATGATCCCAACTATTCCAAGTGCTGGCCCGGGGACTGGCTGCCTTTAGACTGTCCAGGCGTCAGGGTCATAGCTGTCAACTACACGACGGATCCCTATCTGTGGCGTCCGCTGTGGAAGACTAAAGAGCCGCGCTCCAGCCTGATTCAGCGTTCACGGGAAATGGCTGAGCTACTCATGCAGCATCGCGTTGGCCACGGGCATCCCATCATCTACGTGGGCCACTCGAAAGGAGGCCTTTTCATCAAGCAGCTGCTTGTGGATGCCTGGGAGTGCGGTCGTCCGGCCATGAGGCCGCTCTGGCAATCTGCGCGAGGCTGTTTCTTCTACTCGGTGCCGCACCGTGGCTCCCATTTGGCCTCGATCAAGGCGCCGTTGCTATCGCGTTCCGTAGAACTGCTGGAGATAGAAAAGAGTATGTCGATGTCGTACATTAATCCGTTACCAGTTCCTCTATATGCCTTCCACTTTTAATTGATAGATAACAAGTATCTGCTGGATTTGCATCGTCGCTTTGCTGGGCTCTATCACTTGGGTCATTTGAAGATCGAAGTTTTCAGCTTTGTTGAAACAGCGCTGACGCTCATGTCAGTGCTCTATTTACGAATTGTGGGCGTGGATTCAGCCGGTAAGCTGCGCTAGATTGATAAGCTAATCACACATTAATTAATCTAAACACATTAAACAGATCCCGGTTTTGGAGAAGTATGCGGCATACGACTGGATCATCGCGAGATCTGCAAGCCACGCAGTCGGGACTGCATTCTGTACAAAGAGTTGGTGAAAATGATTAAAAAGGTGTGCTGAGCTGCCCATCAATTAGCGTTAGCCATATATGTTACATACATGCAGGAGGACCTCAATGAATTGGAATCGATATGTGAATAGGCTTACAACTATAAGTTGCCCGATAATTATGCGTACCTAAGCGCTTCTTCTTGTTATGGTGCATAGCATAGCATAGTTTATTATATTTCCTTTTTGTTTTTGCTTCTTAATCGATTCATAAGTAATCATTCAAGGGAAATTTGACTTAAATATTAGATTCTTGTCTTTTTGGAATTACTCATGTTTAAAATATTGAGTCAAATAGACCTTATCAATAATTGTGATTGATTCAGTCTCGGCTATAGCGTCAATAGATCTTGGCAGAGCGAAAGATTAGTTTCAAAGATTTCCTCATTCAATCAGACACTCAAGAAGATGCGTTTCAGCATGCCATTTAGCACTTAAACTCATTTCATTTATATATGTATATGTAAATATAAATATATACGTAGGTTATGGCAACTTTTGCGATTTTGTATTGTGATCATTTGTTCAGTTAGTTGTGATGTGATCATATTATATTTTAAATAGTACTGTACAGGTACCTAGCATATACCATAGCCCCGTGAAAGCTCTATATATGGAGGAAGATTTATACATTTACACAACTTTGCTGAATTTGATAATGTTGTATAATTGTGTAAATGGACAACACCGTTAAAAGTTACCATCGAAATAAAAAATTAAAATGTATGGGCATTGATAGTGATATTATGTCCATTTGATATTGTATACAAACCTGTTAAGTACTGAGAGTTACTAAAGATTTACAGTTAAGAGAGTTTTATTGTATATACTTACCAATAAAAGTACGTTTAACGTTTATAGTTAATAAAAATGCAATTTGTATTAATTCTTTTGTTGTCATAACTTAGTTTTAATATATTTTTGTTTTTCTTTCCAATAGTTAAGGATGCTATTCTAGCGTTCTTCACCTTTTCACGTATATATATGTATATAATCATCGTTACATATTATTAGACTCTGTAGCCGCGCTAATTTCTGGTTGGTATGTCAAATTACTGGCACCGAAAACTTTAACACGATCGTATGTATATATATATAATATATATATCTCATATATCGCATATTTTCCAGCTGAGTTTCCACATCTAATACAATAATATTCTTGTAGCATATACAATGTATATAAATTACATAAAAAATACATTCGATTCTATTTTCAATTTTTATCTTTCGTCCGAATTGAAGCAATTTAGAATTAAATATATATTACAGATGGGGCAACCAACTAAATACATATAATATAGTTACAATTTAATTTCCACTCCACTAATGAGGTATACACAATGAGAACTTAAGACCCAAACTAAAATTACGTACAGAACATGCTTAGTTCAAATAATGATTAGGATCAGCATTATCAAAGAGTTAAGAACATAATTTCCTTACAATTTTAGTGGACTCTTAGTAATTTTTTTTTTTTCGCTTTTCTTTTCTTTTCTTTTTTTTCTTATTGGTTTCGCTTTAGCCAAAAACGTCTATGTAAAAGTCGCAATACGCATTTTTATGCCATCGAATAATTATTTTCATACTGTTTTTTTTATTGTTTTTGCGCTTAAATATTTTAAACATTTATCACATCCACTTACACAGCGATCACAATCGCAGTTATTAATTTTTTAATTTCACATTCTTATCGTGGTATTTTCCTTCTCTTCTTTTAATTAAATGTATTTCTTAAGATCTACTTTTATATATTGTTTGAATTAAATACATATAATTTGCCTTTTGCTGCATAATATTTCTTTTCCTATATATTTAATTTTTGTTTAAAATTTTCTTTTTGTTTTAGGAATTTTGAGTTCATTTACGGAATAGTTTTTGTTTAGCTTGATTTGAATGCGATCATAAAAATTTTTACTGAGCCTTCAATTATTTACCTTAAATGTTGTTTGACGGAACACCTTTGAAGTTTTGTATGTGCTAAGACTATGCTATATCAGTTGATTCGAAATGCTGTTGAAATGCCAGTTTCTTGGCCTATTTCAATATGAACACAATTTGAATTGGCTATTGTTGGACACATGTGGCAAGTGCACTCCAAGACAGGATCTTCGGGAATTTTGGAAGGAAATGAGCTACGTATTGCTATAATTTCGTCAAGAAGCACATGTACCATTGCGGAAGCCACATATTGTAATCTATTTACTGTTCTATGCATATTATTTGTTCATTTCCAATGGGAAAGGTACTATTGTTTGTAGTTTTCGTTTAGCTTTGTTTGGTTGATTGGTTTCTTGGTTTTGGGTTGACGGGTTTGTTTATGGTTTAAATAGGTGTTATTGCACTTATATCTAAATACGTATACAGTTACAGTTCATAAACACATTCTCTCAATATGGAATCGTACAAATATTGTTTAATTGAATTGGCGTGCTTAATATAACTTTTTGTCTACTTGTTTTTTCCATACTCTTTTTTTTTTGTTTTTGTTTTTTGATTTCATTCAGTAATAGAATTTGATGTATGTACTCTAGTTAAATACGTCTATGAAATGGAATGTCTGCGTGTTTGGATGTGTGGCTATGTGTGTGTGCGCATATGCCTGTATCTGTGTATTTTTTAACAATTTTCACATTGGTTTTTGAACATTGAACAACAATTCACAAAATACATATTATAGATGAGCTCATTTTAAATTCTGCGCTCAATGCTAAATACATCTTATATAACTTTCAATGCGTATAGAAATATAATATATGTTGTTGTTTGTATGTGTGTTTGTGTATGGTGTGTGTGTGTGTGTGTGTGTGACATAGCTAGAGGTTTAGTTGTTTGTACAAACTAGGTACAGTCGGTAATTGGGATAGACTCGTTCAATACGGCTGCGGTACATTTGAAATGCGTGTGAGGCATTAACAAAAGGTCTATTTAAATAGAATCGAAATGCAATATGCGTGTTTGTTTTTTTGTTTGTTTTGTGTTCCGGTGCTGGAAATGAGCGCTTAACGAAATGCAAAATGAATATAATCAGGTACATTTGATATATCGGTTAAACAAAAATTAAACAAATAATATAAACAAACAAATGAGAAATGCTCAAACAAAACGCAAAATGCAGCAATTAAAATGCGAAAATAAAATATTTTACTTAAATATGAATGGAATTATTGATATGGGTAATTATTTGCAGTAAATCGATATGAACACTATTGTGACTATTGTGAGTGTGAATGTATGTGTGTATATGTATAAATATGTGTGTGTGTATATGTGTGTATATATGAACTGGGCTATTGCATATTTGTTTGGCTTTTTGGCTATGTGTGTTGTAATAGAATACTACGGCAGTTTAATAAATTCATATTAGAGAACGTTTACTACAAATTAAAATAATAATTATAGTTAGCCTCAATTAACAAAAGAAAACAAACAAAAACTAAACAAGCTTAAAAACGTTCATGTGCTTAAAATTAAAGTAAATATGCTTTTATATATATGCATGCATATGTATATATGTATGTATATATATGTATATAAATATGCTGCTTATGTACGTAGATTGTTGTATATTATCATATTCTCATTGTTCGACTTTAGCTCTCGAAGATAAAGATAAGGATAGAGATAAAGATAAATAAATACATTTATAAAATGTACTTCATATAACTAAGCATATTCTTATGTATGTATGTATGTATGTGTCCTTATACTGAACTAATGCAAATATAGGGATCCACAATGTTTGGAATGTTTCGAGCTGCGAATGTGTATGTGTGCTGCTGCGTGTGTGTGTATGTGTGTGTGTGTGTGTGTGTGTATAGAGTAAAGTGTAAGTGTATGTGTAGTAGTGCTGCATGGAATACTTTTGCTTGGCGAGGCGACGACGACAATGCCAGCTATTCAGGCTCAGCCATTTGGATCGACTTGGGCACGCCGATTCAGGGCCGTAGACGCTGGCCACGCCTGCTTGGCCATTGTCGTCGTCTTTTTGCTCTTAACGCCCACAGAGTGAGTCTGTGGCCCGTTGACAGGAACTATGGATGCAGAGGGATACTGCTGCGGCATCGGCTGCTGCTGGCGATCCTTCTGCTGGACAACAGTTGACTTCTGGTTGCTGCTGCTGCTGTTATTGTTGTTGCTAAATTGGCTTTTGCTCGGCATTTGCTTTGTCATTTCGGCGGGCAACTTGAAACCGTTGGTGAGACTAACACACGCGTACTCGTGCTCCGATGTCGGCGTCAGCGTCGCAGCCGACTCCTCTTCGGCCAGCAGGCAGATGCCATCATTGGAATTCGAGTGCCGCGCAAAATTTGTATGGAATTGCTTCTTGCTGCCGTTGCTGGTGCTGCTGGCGCTGCTGCTGCTCAAGCTGCCGCTGCGTCGGCCCAGCCCCGGCACAGTGGCCACCAGCGGTAGCGAATTGGGCGGCACTGCCACCTCCAGGCCGCTGTCGTTGTTCTTTGAGGAGCTCTGCTTGTTGTTGGCATTGGAGTTGCTGCTGCCGCCTGCCTGCAGCGCCACTGCATTGGGTGGCGTGTGGCGGTAGGGTATGTAGAAGGCCTTTGCCTCTTGCAGCATGGCATCCTGCACAGTTTTACGCTCCGTCGAGCTGGCGCACAGTGGCAGCTGAGATAGGTTGTGCACGCCCGCAATGGTCAGCTCCAGTTGTGCTTCCTGATCCACACGCCGTACCGCCGTTCCGTTGCCGTTACCATTGCCATTGCCGTTGCCATTGCCATTAGGCAACGTTGCTGCCGTCGCCGTGCTCGTCTGGTACTCCAGCGTGCGCTCGGGCAGCAGCTCGATGTGGTAGCGGGAGCGCGGAATCAGTGTCTGCATTTCGTGGCAGTCCTGCTGCATTGTGTTGCCGCTAAGGCCACCGGCACTGTCACCCGGTATGCCCGAGGCACTGCTCAGATTGCCGAAATTGATGTCTGTGGGCGTGGTCAAATGCGTGGGCCCCGGGACGCGTGCCTTGAATCGACGCCTCTGAAATATGATGAAGAGCGCAAAGCCAAAAACACAAAGCATCGACAGCAGCGAGCCGATGGCGATGCCGCTATAGACTTCATGATTCGAGGAGTTCTGCACCGTTTCCAGTATGTGATGATTGATCAAGTCAAAGAACATGGGCGCGCCCACGCCCGTCTCACCAACAACACGCACGGCCACATGAATCTTGTCGGTCTCCGAAACATTGGGAAACTGCAAAGGAAATGAAGACGAATTATAAGTTTAAGGCAGAAAAGACAGAGTAATAGATAGAAGATATGTTGGATATGAGCTTCACATCTTACTCATAGATAGATGGTTCAGTTGAGTTAGCTTTCAGTATTTGGGTTATATAATATTCTCTGCCTTACCTTATAGAAACAAGGACGACACTCTAGCACATTTGCCTCGTGTGTCACATTGCCCAGAGTCCACAGAATATTATAGTGATGGACACGTCCGTTGGGATGCAGCGGTGGCTCCCATATAAGCTTCAGGCCATTGTGCTTGACCACGCGCGAATTGCTGATAGTACCGGGCGCTAAATGATACGATAATGAATTATGAAAATTCACAAATATATTTTGTAAAACTAGGGCTTACGGTCTGGCAGCGTCTGCACATCCATTTCGCCGTAGAAGATTTGCGGCTTGCAATTGTAGAAGTGGAAATTGTAGCGCTCGTTGGCACTGAGACCCGAGACGAGCAGCACCGAGTTGACAATGGTGCGCTCCTTGCATTTGGGCTCCTGCTTGCGCAGCGGCAGCTGCACGTGCAGGTGGCACTCGTAGACGCAGGTGTCATTGAGGCTGTCCAGGAACTGAAAGGCCAGCATGCGCGACTCCACGGTAATCAGGCGAAAGGACAT